ATATATATATATGTGGGACGAGCGCATCTAAGCCAAATTCTTAAATAAGCGTTCGTGAAGAGTTTTAACGTAGACCCTGGATAGCTCAATGGATAAAGAGCAGTCATCCGAAAAGCGGAAGATCCCGGGTTCGAGTCCCGGTGCAGTCTCTCAAGTTCCAACAGCCTAATTTTTTTCACGAATCCTACATATATATACTTCTTATTTATTTAACGATCAATATAAACTTTAACATTTGATTATATTTCATTGTCGAATCAACAACAAAATATATGATTTTAAAATTATTTTGTTTAAAATAATAGAAACAATATTGTTTTATTGATCTATATGTGTGTGTGTAAAAATATAGGATGATAAAGTAAAAGGAATAAAAAGGGAATAATGAAGAAGGGATCCATTAGAAACGCATCAAACGTTTGAGCCTCACATTTATTAGCATACCATTGTTTCATCTCCTACGAAGCGTAAGATGGTTTCATTAATGAATGCGTTGGCGTAGAGGTTAAGATGTCGAAATTGCTCTTCCGTCTTACTGCAATTAGCGGCTAATGCTTTCTCTAATAATACCACGAGATTCCTAATCGTTAGAGCGTGAAGCAATTAGAGAATAACTCGTAATACATCCCGAAAAATTATCAAAAGAATTTTTGTCATTTCTTTTTTCTCGACGTTCAAATAATAAACATAATAAAACACACATTACGTGGTTACCATTACCATCAATCTACTCAGATTGATTTTGATATTAATAAATTGTATAAACGATACAAGTATTTTAAAAAAGAGATACGATAAATAACGCGTAACTAGTCAATATTTCTTCATTTTATAGTATTAAATGATTTCTTAAAGTACTCATAAACTGTGCGTAACATGAGAAACTTAGAGGCAGCCATCTTCTTCTTTCCTTTTCCTATTCCGTGTCGGCCGATAATTCTCTGCTCCCGGCATTAACTCCCAGAGAGATTTCCAATGAAGTTAACGGACTTGTGCTGAACATATAATCCGCAGTACGTTCTCCTTGGTAATTATTGATAATGATATTAAACCGTAGACTTTCGTTGATGAAGAAAGACGAAAGTGGGAGGAAGGGAAGAAATTCAAACTCAAGAATTAAAACAGTAATGATTAACAATAATAAGCAAACGATAAAATTAAATCAACATTTATTCTTATTTAAAATAAGATAATACTTCTATTTATCTATTATTAAAATAGCCAAATAAACGTGTGTGTTTTTTCGTTTAACCTCCTAAAAGATGATCAAAATTCCTAAGTAATGTGAGTGTGTTAAAGTAAAGCAGGTAAAATCAATTATCGATATTCTATCATACGATAGTAGAATATGACGAAGTTCTCTCGCGGTATTTATATTTGCAATTAGCAATAATTAAGTGCCCTAAAGGTTCCCGTATTTCCCAAACCCTATTTTAAGTGTCCTTTTCTCTTTCGCACACCCACTCATTCTCCCTCTCTCTCTCTCTCTCTTTCTCTCTCACATTGATTCGCGTGCGTTTTCTCCCTTTCTAGCAGTCACACATTACCTCTTATACGTGAGAGTATCTTTAATTAGAGGAATCGATCAAATGAACGCTTAGAGTCAAACGAAAGGACGTTGAATGCCCGGCTTTTCTAGCCAAGCTACGGCTGCCACTCGAATGTAGAATAAGAGAGAGAGAGAAAAAGAGAGAAAGAGAGAGAGAGAGAGAGAGAGAGAGAGAGAACTTAAATGAAATATAACGTCGAGCCAACGTGATTTGACGTAACTCGACGTATACGAATTCGCGATGATTTCTATTAGCCTCCACTCGGAAGGATTTTATTCCAATTTTTCCCCCCCCCCTCCCCGCTTCTCGCCAATTCCGTATTTAGTGGTTCTATCGTTCTTTCCACTCTAACCCCCTTTTAAATATTTCCCATTCTATCAGCGACCCCTTAACGATTTCAATCGCGTTAGGCGTTTATAATCACAATCATTTGTATAGTCGACGTTAATTAAATATCTCCCACTTATTCGTTCCTTTTGTCTTATTTTCCTTATTCTTTTTCTTTTTTATTATTTCTATTTTTTTTCTCTCTCTCTTTCTTTCTTTCTTTCTTTATTATCATTCCGATCGATTTAAGATTAAAACCCACGCGTATATTGTACGCGTATGATTTGATAAATATGTTAATAGAAACAATGGAACCAATCAATCTATCGATTGACTTTTTTCGAGTTATAGAAATGTTGTTATAAAGAAATCTGTACGATTAATACGAATATATTCATTAAATTGAATTTATACCTTGATATACGATAATAACTTGACGAATTAAACGGTCTAATGAATATAAGCATAATGTTGAAATTTTACAAGCAAGCAATTCTGTTGTTGTTGTTTTTCTTTTCTTTTGTTTTTTATCGCGTGGATATAAGAATACAAGAAGAAAAATAAAATGAAGGAAGAATGAAAGAGAGAATGAAGGAAGGAAAGTAAGGGTTGTTTAACCAGTCAACGTGCTCCTTCGTACATGAGACGCCTAAGTGAACTCGGGCACAGGACCCAGAACTCACACAAAGTACACCCGAGATTGAGGTAATTACGCCGAGGAGGTAGGTTATATCGATCGACGATAAACCGATAAGTTATCCGGCTAAGGATCAGCCTTGCGGTTTAACATCAGCCGTTGTACTAGAAATAAGTCTCATAGGACTACTACTACTACTACTACTACTACTATTCCTATTACTACTACAATCACTTTTCTCATAATTTTGTTTTTTTCATTATAATTTTAATCCTACTATCTACATAATTTTCCATCACAGGGCTTAATATACCTATTTGCTAATAATAAACAAACAGAGATTGTTTATTACGATTATCGAAAAAGTAATAAGAATAAAAATGCACAATTATGAAGTAATTAATTGAATAATTAATAACGCTAAACGTACACCGTGATTTAATATATATATATATATATATATAAAACCTATTTCTACCTTGTTTATAAAAACAAACATATATTTGTTTTTTATATGGAATTAAATTTTTAACCCCAATTTTTCATAACGAATATATTAAATATACCAATTTTTGATTTAGAAATAAATTAATGTACATTTTATCTCTTTACATAGAATACTTTTTTCGATCATGATATACGTTTAGTATTAATTAACAATAAAATAAAATTATCAAAACCCAATATTATATTTGATCGAATATACTCACTGTAAACTTTGATCTTGCTTTCTGTCTCGCCCAATGAATTCGTCGATATGCATCGAAAGGATCCAAAATCCTGTGCACGTACAGACTTTATAGTCAACCTCATAGTTGTCTTGTATCCTTTGTAACCTTTTGATATCGTTTCAACTTCGTAATGATTGTCTGTGAAAAATTATACAAAATTAATCTTCATTAATTTAAGATGATTATCATTTTTTTTTCTCCTCTCTCTCTCTCTCTCTCTCTCTCTCTCTCTCTCTCTCTCTCTCTTACTTTNCCTCTCTCTCTCTCTCTCTCTCTCTCTCTCTCTCTCTCTCTCTCTCTCTCTCTCTTACTTTCCTTTGATAGAAAAATTATTCATTCGTGTAAACGATACTTTTCGACTTTTTAACGAGATATCTAAATACGATGTTACAGTTTAAATTGCAACATGATTATAATTCGTAATTAACAAGAGAAAGGGAGAGAGAAGGATAGCACAAGTTTACGACCGAACGGACACCCAATGGCACTTCTTCGTTCGTGCACATTTAAATCGTATAACTTCGTGCCGATGTAATTACGTTTGTCGCTCGTTAAAAAGCTAATTTGTTATATAGCAGTGATCCGCGAAATAGCTACGAGGACAGGTACTTCGTGGTAACTACGAATAATCGAAATACGTAGTAGAGCTTCACTAGCTAGCTCTAACCGTTACTATAAACTTTACATTTTTCTTCTCGTCCTTCTCATTTATAAAACGGTAGGGGAAAAAAAAAAGAAGGAGAAGTAGAAAGAAAAAGAAAAAAGTTACGCTAACAATTTTTCTTCCATGCCCGAGCGTCATTTTGACGCGAATGAAAAACGATTTTTTAAATTATGGGAGAGGAAAAAAATACAACAAAATAAAACGTATTTGAAAAAAGAAAAACACAGAAAAATCAACGACTGATATTAAAACTTGGATTAATTTAAAAAAAAAACCACATACACACATATATATATATACACAGGAAAAAGGAATAAAGTAATGAACGGTTTTAATGGATTTTCGAAAATTTCGATGAAAAAATATTCAAAGTGAAATCATTGAAAATCGTAATTATATAAGAAAATGTAAAAGTGTGTCAGGATAATGGATTCTTGAAGTTTCTATAATTTAGAAAAGATGTCAAAGAGGTACCTTCTCTCTCTCTCTCTCTCTCTCTCTCTCTCTCTCTTTTTCTTTCTTTCTTTTTCTTTCATTCTAGTTCTTATAAAATAATTCAATTATTGTCAATAAGAGAAATGGAGTGTAATCTTAGCGTCGTCTTAACGTATAACGCTGCTTCACTTGCCCTTAACCTTTGGCTGTTATCGCAAAGGTGCTTGGATGCAATTACGGTTAAGTCTTTATGTTGGTGCAGTGTGTAATTAGTGCGAGCCACATTAGCGACACTCGCGTGAACGTTTTAACCACGAAACGTATCTTCGCTCGAACGTTTTGGAAGACACACAAAAAAAAAGGAAGGGAAAGAGAGAGAGAGAAAAAAAATAATGTTAAAATAAAATAACCAAATTTTCTCATTTATTATTAATCAACGTGTTTTACTGTAACGGGGTCTCTCGTTAATCTCATTTATTTTGGCAAATGATGATTGGTGTTTAGTAATAATAAAATGACGTTTACTTTATTTTTACAGAGTTGGAAAGTGAATTATCATTATATTATAATAATACGTGGAATAAAATGAAATGAAAAAAAAAATGAATATTATTTATTATTTATTATAATAATGTTTTTTTTTTCTTCTTATATCATCAATACGTTCAGTCAAAAGTCATTAATTAGAATTTATACTAATTTAAATTATTGTTATTTAATAAGAAAAATCAGATTAAGGAAAGAATTATTTGTTTAATGCTTTTATATACAAGCTATTATTGGTGGCAAAGTAAATTTAGAATAGTCATTAAATATAAAATATCTTGTGTAGAAAAAAATAGACATATAAATAAGAAAACGATAAGAAATAGATTGCAATTGAGGACAGGGGAGGAACAAAAAAATAGGGTCAAGTAAATTTGTATTAGTATGACAATCGATATGGATAACAAAAGATTCCCTCATGATATTTTAACAATCTTATTGTTTCAAACTCACCATTAGCAATAGTCTCATTTGTTGGCCTAGTCCAATAACTTATTGGTCTGGGATAAGCCTCACTTTGACATTCGAGAATAAGTCTTTTCCCTTCGTATGCTCCAACCAATTGTTTCTCGATCCAAACCATAGGTGGAACTGCGTGAAAAATAAATGAAAAATGTGATGACGATGTTGATTCTGATTAAAAAGAAATAGAGATAGAAAGATAGAGAAAGAAAGAAAGATGAAGAGATAATGAAAATCTCTTGGTTTCAAATGGTAGGAAAGTTATCTATTAAAATGAGGAAAATATGTTAAGAGAGAAGAAACGAGTCTTTGAGTGTCTTAGCTAGCTAGCTAGTTGGTTGGTTGGTGACATTGCACGTCGGAATCTCGCCTAAAGGCAGGAAGAATTTAGAAGATGGTTCTTCAAGCTCACCGAGGAAACAATGCACCTTCTTTGGATCAGCCATTCACACTGTGGCGTCTGCCCCAAGTGCCGTCATTACGAGGTACGTAATCTCGAGAGAGATTCGCGGCCACGTTGTCGGGCTTTTAAATTGCCTTTGAAACCAAGAGAGAAAGAAACTTAGATGAGAGAGCAACGGGATATGAGGAAAAGTAAGGAATGTTGAATGAAGAGGAAGACTTGGGACTCGTCGTTTCGTACGTACAGTGAACAATGAGAACGATCCTCTTACTGACGGTTGGGGGTACACCATTCGATGCTATGCACAAGTATGGTCCCATGTGGAGTCGAGTGACACCCGTTATTTCCAGATGTGGACCTTCGATACTTGTTACTGAAACAGATAACACATTTATCTAACACCGTTGTATTATTATTCTACACACTATGACAATATGTATATATATATAACTTATGTTATTTCTTCTTCTGTTATAAGAAAAGATTGAAATTCATGAATATAGAATTTTTCTATGTCAGTTAGAAAATATACGAGACGTTTCTTTTATAATGAAATCTTATTATAGTTCTGACCCGATTGAAATCTTTAATTGGAATGTCTCTACGTTTTCAATTCAATTCGATTTTAACATTTTATTCCGAATTTTCTTTGGAGAATTAATGTTGAAACGTGGGAAACAATGTGATGTTTCGTTATGGGAATTAAAAGAGAAAACTAATGTGATTTATGAGTAAGTTTTAAATATATGATTCATCTTAAATTCGCAATTTCTTTGATAGTAATGATTCTGATAATGAGTGTTAGAGAAGATATTAATTTTAAAATATAAAAACATAAAAATTCGGATGTATATTAATAAATTAAATATATAATACATAAGATATAAAATTGTGCACGTATTATAATAATATAACGATTATTAAAAACATTACAATGAAATAAAATGAAATATTAAATAACAATAAAAGTTCATTCAACGTGTATCTCTGAAATTTGTAGATTTTTCGGCAGACCGGAAAGTTTAATGTAATCCACGAAACATCACAATTCTTTTATTAACATTTATAAATATCTTAAATATATCTCTACGAATATTCATTATTTATTTTAACCCCAAATTTTATTTATATAAATTTAATCAAATTACTTTTGATTGGTATAAAAAAAAAAAAAAAATGTAATTCTCGTGACATATATGAAATGTATTTTCAGAAACAAAATGAAATTCTGTCAATTACTTTCGTAAAAGAAATATGACAGAACTAAAAATACAATTATGTATGAGAAAAATAAAGATCTCAAGTGAAATAAAAATATTATTTTTTTGTTTAGTTATTATATCTACATGAATTTTTTTATCGATATCATTATTACCATCGTTTTAAGTTTTATAGTTACGAACGAGCAGTGCATCCAACGATGAACTATATCGTAATCTAACAAATCGCGGACATTAAACGCAGCCGCGAACTCGAACGATTTTACAAAAAGGTTGATTTTACATGTACATACATACACACACACAGGTTTAACGTACATGCATACATAGTACTGGACTCCAGAGAGCTATTTCGCGTTTGATCGCATAGACCTCACCGTTATTATCCGCGTGATTTATATCCATTATTGCTATCTGTGCACACACACGCGTTGTAATATGTAGTAATAGTAGTAGTTTGTATATAGAATGTATCACAAAAATATTCTTAACCGCTTTCACTGTAAATTTAAAATAATTGATATTTGTGCTTGTAATAAAGAAAATTTTAAATTCTTATATACACAGAAACCTATTTTAGGATAATTAAAATGTTTCAATTGATATTAATTTTATCGTGATAAAATATTATATTCTTTGATAAATATTATTTTATTTAATTGATTAAAAAATATCGGTCTCACTAATGTAATTGTATTTTAAGTAAGATATAATAAAAATACAAGGATTATTTTGATTAATAATTCTTAATTGCATTTTTAAATATTTTTCAGACGATTGAGAATAGGACTGATATTTTTATCAATCTAAGTAAAATTATATTTATCTAACAATAAAATATTCTACTACTCTCTCTCTCTCTCTCTCTCTCTCTCTCTATAAAATGAATATCAATTTAAAAATTTAATTATCCTAAAATAGATTTCCGTTTATAAGAGTTTAGGAATACTGTATTACAAAAAAATATTGATTGTTTTAAATTGTGACTACGATGATAAGAATATCCTTATAACTTACTGTATATCATCTATGTTTAACCAAAAGTCATTAATTAATAATTATGTTAATCTGAATTGTTGCTTCTAAAACAAATTTTTAATGAAAACAAATTTAGGTTTAATTTTGCGTATGCTTTTTAAGTATTACTATTGATACTTTATACGAATGAAGGACAACTTTTCTCGAATTGTTTATAAAATTTGATGAAACGTAATCTACATAAATTATTTCGTGTCAAGAATAATGATTAATGACTTTTACAAAAGGAAAATCGTGTAAAAAGGTAAACTAATAATTCAAATTGAATCCTTTAATCTCGTTGATTTGAAAATTTGGACGAGTGCAGTACGAACTTCGATGAGATCTCGACGCGAAAAAAAGAAAAAAAAGAAAAGGTTATAACGACAAGATAAATAACTAAAATTTTTTTTTCCTTTCATTATCAATGAGTACAAAGAAATCGTTTCTTCTTCTTCTTCTTCTCCTTCTTATTTTTTCTTTTTCTCATTTTCCTTTCTCACTTTTATTCTTTCACCAGCCCCGTCATCCAATTTTCTTCTTTCGGTTCGGAATCGAACGGGAAAGGGGAAATAAAAGAGGTCAGCTGCTAGAAACGTTGGGGAGACGTACACGCGTTCGAGAATATTTTATTTTACGGTACTTATCCTTCGATGGAATCAGGATCTGAAGAATAGAAAAAGACGAATAGAAAAGACGAATGAATGTGGGGGGAAGAAAAAAAAAAAAATAAGATGAAAACGTACATAAGTTAGAAACCAATAGAAAAGAAAATAGAATCCTTGGTGAAATGAAGATAAAGAGAGAATACCGAAAAGAAATAAGTAGACAAAAGTAAGGTAAAAGAGTGAGAGAAGATAAGAAGGGTTTGTTGGGGGCGGGGACGGGGACGGGGTGAAGGGGTGGGATTGGTATGTGTTAGAAAAGAAGAAGAAGAATAAGAATAAGAAAAGATACGACAAATGTTTAAACCGATTCCTTAAAACCTAGAGCGGCAAGATAAAAGATTCATTTGGTGAATAAATCACTCCAGCTTTTGCACCCTTCTCTTCACCTCAATATCTCCACCTCCTCCTCGTCCTCCTCCTCCTTCTTTTTCTTCTTATTTTTCTTTTCTCTTTTCGTGTTCGAAACACCTCGTCCTTTTTCGCGAGGTACGCTACGTTTTTCTCTTGGATGGTGTAGTAGCACCCTATATTGCAGTTCCTCCTGGTACGGTGTCGTAGTACACTGTTGAAAATATTTTACGGTCGAGTAGCACGAGGTCCGACACCCTAGCTATCGTTTTCTTCATCCTCCTCCTCCTCCTCCCCCGTTCTTCATCCACCCTATCGTACCCCTTTTCCCTTTAACCCGTTCTACGAGTGTCAGGAACACGAAGTACCTCGTGAAAGCCCGAAGGAAAAGGACGCCCAGTTTAAGGGTGGCAGCAGGGTGAAGTGGGGGTAGGGGGAGGGGTGCTTTCCCGAAATGGAAGGAAGCTTGAACGACGAAACGAACGACTAGAGAAAAAGAATGAAAACGGAAAAAAAGGGAGTTCAGTTTTATCCTCGTGGATCATACAATACAATACGAATTGTCCTCGGCCCTTTACACGTACAATTAGTTAAGTTAGGTACTATGGGGTCTGAACAATCATTAAATAAAAAAAAGAAAAAAGAAAAAAAGAAACTGGTGTGTGTACTTATGTACGCACGTAATGAGTTATACTTCTTTAACGTACCAAAACGAACATAACCTCAATAAATTCAATTATCTCGCGTATCAATATAATATTGTACATTTGTCGGAAATACGATAATATGATAAAATAAAATGAAGATATTAAATACCATTGATGAAGGTTTTAATTAATATGTACAATCTAATTAATTTATTTACGAATTACTTCATGCCGGTAAATTTGAAATCGTTATGCCCGCGCATCGTAAATATTCGGCAACTTCGTGGTGTTGATTTTTCGGTTGCATTTAACTTCAGTTTACAAAACGTGTAAAAAGAAGTATAACTTCAAAAATAAGAGAGAGAGAGAGAAAGAATCGGAGGACATCTACTGTTGAAAGTTAAAGAAAAAAAAAAAGGAAAGATAGTAAGTTAGTATCACGAGATAGAATGGCAATTAAGGAGGTAAAAGGATCGGATAATAGACCGCTTTGATAAATTAAGAGTTCGAGTACTCTTCCAGTCGATCTCACAAACTGATACTCGTCAGATAAAGCACGACTCGCAAACCCGATAGATTTTTTGAGATATATAATTCAACACATTGATCTATAAGTTTATAACATATATACATTATCATTTCTAAATCCTTTACTATCAACACGATCTACACGGTGCACGCGATTCGAGATTACGAAGATAACGAGATGCTCGTGGAAAATGATATCGTATATCATGATATAATAGATAATAGTTGTGTGTCCTTGTTTCTAGATCTCATCACCAATTAAATCTAAATCTTCTTCTTTTTCGCTTAGGTATATTAAATACGTAAAGAGTTTTAATGAGTGTTCAAATATAACGGATCAAGAGATAACGAAGTGTTTTGAATATTACAAAAATGTATGTCTACTTAAATAAGAAAAAAAACGCTGAACTTCAGAGATTAAGTTGCTGAAGAAGTCCCAATAAAGGGACGAAACGAATTTCTAGTTCTTTTGAGTGTCCAAATTCCCTAAGATATCTATTTATTAATAATTATATTTTTGGAGACGAGAGAAACAATTAATTGAATTAAATACGTATGTTCTTATAGAAAATTATTTCTCGTACAAGTAATTATATATCTTATGAAGGCAAGATTGTGTCAGATATAATCACATTGTCCTTTATAATAAATGAAAATAGATTTTTCTTCGATAAAAGAATCTATTTCATAAATATATATATATATCCTATTAATTTTCTTGAAGTATCCACTTTAGTGAAAGAAACGGGATTGTAACGAAGTCAGCACTTAACACGGTCCTCGCAGATAGCTTTATTAGGAAAATCGAAACGTCGATCGGGACATTCGATAGGGGACGTATAACTGAAATATATATATATATATATATATATATATATATATAAATATACGTAGGGGATGAAGAGGAAAACGACGATAGCAGGTGGCTGGGAGCAAACGAGCGGAAATATAAAGTGAAGAGGAAAGGGCCAAAGGTAGAAAGAGAAATGTCGATAGGTCGGAGAGGAACAGTAAATTGGTTGGAAGGTGACGGAAGGTGGCGGTCAGAGAGAGAGAGAGAGAGAGAGTTCTTTTGCCGAAAATAAATACCTACCCTCGTGCCAGTTAGGGAGGGTGATCGTGCCCCCTGCTTCCCTACGCCATGAGACCGTCGGCTTCGGTGTTCCTGTTGCCTCGCACCGCAGCGTCACGTTGGTACCCTCCCTCACTTCCATGTCCGTACTGGTGGGATAGTCCAGGATATCCGGAGGTACTGAAACAATGACCACATTGCGAAAAGGGAAACATCCACCCCCTTGCTTTTGCCCTCGAACGAACACGAACACGAACACGAACACGAACACGAACGGGTTTCGTTCGAATAGATGGTTATCTCGATACTGCCCGATCACTATTACCACCCTCTTCCTCACCCTCATCCTCATCCTCCTCTTCCTCCTCTTCCTCTTCTCCATCCTCTCTCGCAACGTTTACCTACACGATTCTATAGGGAAGAGAAGCTTCAAGAGGAAGGGGTAGTTCCACCCTGGTATCATCCACGAATACTCTCCCTTACCCAACTGTCCCGTACACGAACGATCTGATCGTAAAATCTCGAATTCGTCAGTCTGATCTTAAATTTCGGTATCTATTTTTTTTTCTCGCGAAAAATTGCGCGCACACGTTTACCATCACTTTTGTTTTTTTTTTGTTTAAGTTACGACGTTCTTTTCGTCTCTATTTTAGTTTGTTTTATTTTCTTTTTTTATATTTCCTCTTTGTACTTTTCTTTTTTTTGTTGCCCCAGCTAAGTATAAAATACGTATAATAAGTATTACGATTAAATCGAATTAAACTTGACACGGAGCTACTATCGGATTTATCTCCGGTAATTTTAGGATAACCCTCTCAGCACCTTATTTCGTTTAATTTTATATTTTCGATCCTAATTCTGTTTTAGAAATTTCACGTGTAAAGAACACGGAAATAGGGTCGAAGATTCGATTATAAGAAGCCGAGTAATCGAATTAAGTTTGTTAATGTATTTTAGATTATCTCGGAAAATCTTTAATTATAATGCTCATGAAATTTTCTACACAGTGAGAGAGAATAAGAGAAAGATTTGTGAGAAATAAAATTAAAGTATATTATTATTATTATTATTATTTTGTCAATAACGAACAAAGCTAAATTCACTCACCCCCCTCCCTCCATACCCCGAATAACGATATGTGAATATAAAAGTGGGATGAAAGTAGGGTTACCAGATGTGTCTATGAAAGAGACAAAGAGATAGAAAAAGAGATGAATTGAGTATAGTGCTTGTATTCGCTCGTTTGTCGATCGTCGAGTATTCTTTTGAAGTAGATTTCCGAATGAAACGTGCCGTTGCATTTCAAAACAGACCCGAAATATTCGCGCACCGATGTTGCTTGCCCGAAGGTGCACGAGTGTGTTTTGTATCCTTTGTGAAGCAATGCAATGGACGATTGATTTCTAAAATCGGAAATCATTGCCATTTTTGAACGAACATTTGAAATTGAATAGTAGGTACCTATATGTTTATCGATATAAAAGAAAACAATTGTTTAGCGCGTTTATAAACATTTATATATATTATATTTTTAATTTCGGAATTTTTATAATAATTTAACGAAAAATGATTTTTAATGATAGAAATCCGAGAACACTGTATTCGAAAAATTTCTTTTTCTTTTTTATTTAATTCACATTATTTTTTAAAGTTTGTGTAAGTGTGTGTGTGTGTGTGTGTAAGGAAGGTTGTACTTCTAACATATGTAAACTTTCGTTTCAATAACATTTTAGTTGATCTTCTTTCACGTCGTGGTCACGTACCTACCAATGGATGCAGGATGCATCTCTCTTACAAGTTTTGGTAAGGTTCGTGAATAAGATCGTAAGAGTTCCTCTTTCAGAGGAAAGAAGAAGTTCGTAAAGTGACTTGATATTGGGAATAATACAAAATTCGAATGTTCGAGTCTCGAGTAATATTATCTATAACATCATTATTAGGATAATATCATCTTGATAGACGTTTACTTCCCGGAGACTAGAAAACTTTCTTCTACGAGGATCAAAATGAAAATTTTAGCGTTTACTATACATTGAAAACTTTCTAATCAATTATCTATCCCTTGGAAAATGATTTTAACTAAATTCTTCGATAAACTTCAATAATTCGTGATAATTATTCATTGTCATGAATAATTTCAATATTTAGACACGGCACAAGTGTACGAAGGATGGATTAGACTTTTTAAAGATTAGTATTTATCTATGTGAATTAGGATCAATGAAAGATCTCATTTTGAACATAAAAAAGCAATTAATGTACTATTAATAAACAAACAAAGTAGTGACCGCGCGTATTACTTAAATAATTCATTTATATATTACTTTATAATAATTAGTATATCATTTAAATTCCATACTCTTCTATATATTTTTTAACAAATTTAAACACAAACAATAATAATAATTCTTTGAAAAAAATCAGAACATTTTGATAAAATAAACAACGTAAAAAGAAATATTTATCTATGTGAATTATGATGCATGATAGATCTCATTTAAAAAATAAAAAATTAGTTAATGTACAATTAATAAACAAACAAAGCAGTCACCCCGTGTATCACTTAAATATAATTCATTTATATATTACTTTATAATAATTAGTATATCATTTAAATTCCATACTCTTCTATATATTTTTTAACAAATTGAAACACAAACAATAATAATAATTCTTTTCAAAAAATCAGAACATTTTGATAAAATGGAAAAAAACTTCGTTCATGGGAAAATTGGTAACTACTACAATCATTCCTAAATTCTCATTCTTCTAAAACAACATCAACGACAATAACAAGGACAAATAATACGGCGTAAGGAATTCCGTTATCGAGTTGCTTTTCATTCGGAAGAAATGCAGCCGAATATGGCTAGTAGACATGCAGTAGTCTGTTAACCGAGAGTATGGACAGGAGAGGTAAAAAAAAGGGAAAGAAAAGAGGAAGAAAACATGGTATAATGTAGAGGACGAAGAAAAAGAAAAAGAAAAAGAATAAAAAGAAGACTAGGGGCTACTACTACGTACGGTTTTCAACAGTTCCCTCAGTGAACAACTTCTCCCCCGTCACGAAGGAGGGCTACCCTTTTCTGAATAGCAGCTTCTCAGTTCTCTTTCCCATCCCCCATTCCTCCCCTTCACCATACTCCCATACTTTCTCTCTCTTACTTCTCTTCCATCTCCTCCTCCTCCTCCTCCTCCTCCTCTTTCTCGAAGAACGGAACATCGTGAGCTGAGTCCTCCCTCTGAGTTACGGAAGACGTGTTCGGAAGGCAAATAGCTTCTCGTCGTCTTAGACGAAAAGAAAAAGAAAAAGAAAAAGAAAAAGAGGAGGAGGAGGGGGAGGAGTGGACTCGAACGAAGCTTTTCCTCGCGGTAACGGACCCGTGTTACCTACCCCTTACGCGTTTTAACAAAAGCAAGAAAAAGTGTCATACGTAAAAGAGAGAAAAAGAAAGAAATAGAAACACAGAGTATGTTTGTGTATGTGTGAGAGAGAGAGAGAAAATGAGAGAATGAGAACAGTATCTTTTTTCAAAGAGTTTACTCAAAAACATTCGGGGTCGGGACGGGGTTGGGAGCTTTTCGGCTAGCAAAGGAAAAAGCGGTTCGTTTTATCCATCGATGGGTTGACGATTGTGCATCGATGGAGACTGTCCATTGATAAACCGTATACGAAATATTCGCGAATATCGCAAATATCGTCGAGATATTACTCGACTGGGCGGCAATCCATTTTCTGGCCTTTGCGAACGTACCACGTCGTGTGCAAACTCGGTGCAACCAAAAAAATAAAAAAGAAAAAGGGACGACAGTGAGAAAAAGAGAGAAAAAACATATAAGAGAAATGAAAAAAATTAAAAAGAACACCGCGACGTATCCGCGAATAGTATATTTATTGATACGGAGAAACAATTGTGCTATGGATTTATTATTTCGTGTACGGGGAGAAGGTGGGGAGGGGTCTCACCAATCCAAACACTTCAACTTCACAACCAAACCTTACCCCTCTTTCATACTTCTTGTATCCTACCTTTTATGTGCATATCTTTTTTTTTTTTTTTTACTTTTTACGTATGTCTCCGCATTGCTTGTTTGCTTGTTTGCTTGTTTGCTTGCTTGCTAGCTGATGGTTTTAAGATAAACGAAAACTACCTAACTATCCTTTGGTCTTGTTATCGTCAGATTTCTCCTGTTTTTTTTTTTGTTTTTTTTTTCAGATAAGAAGACGAAGACAAATCGGCATTTTTTGTCTCTACCTTTTATTCCTTCTTTTTTTTTTTTTTTCTTTTTAAGTTTTGATAATCGATCAGGTAAGAAGAATTACGTTTGTATAAGAAGAAAGACATACTCGATTCTTTTAAATGCTTCTTGGGAATGATTGACCGAGAATTTCCTGACGTTTTCTTTCTTACTTTCTTTTCTCTTCTTTTCTTTGTAATAAGAGAAAGGAGATCATTCGAATGCTTGAAGATAAATCTTAGAGTGGTTAAACTCGTAAGAATGATGCTTTATCAACGTGACTCTAAATGCGGGATGGATCGATTTGATCGGAGTTGTAAGAAAGAGAGAATGAAAGAAAACTATATATATATATATATATAGAGAGAGAGAGAGAGAGAGAGAGAAAGAGACCTCAAAATAGGTGACTTCGTGCGAACGACAAGGGTACTCGACTAATTGTAAGTAATAGTACAGTACGATAATGTAGAGAAAATTTAATGGCTGTTGTTACGAGATAAGCACGAGCTTTTACGATTATACACGCTTCTCGGCACCACCTTTCCTTTCTTCACCTGCTACATCCTACGTAATATAACTAAATTGAAAAATTTCTATTAGTTTGTAATTTTTATTTTAAACATTTTTCTTTATTAACGACAAATTTTTTAAAACGATACTCTACTCTCTCTCTCTCTCTCTCTCTCTCTCTCTCTCTCTCTCTCTCTCTCTCTCTCTCTATAGAGTCAAAGTATATAGAAGTGAAATTAAGAGAAACACAAACGTAGAGTAAAAGAAATTTGTAAAGATTTTTCTTTTCCTTCCAAAAGAAAAAAAAAAAGAAAAAAGGAAAAAGGAAAAAGGAAATTCTACGAAAATCTTAAAATTTCTTTAGTTTCTCCGTTGACCCAGAATGTAGTAGGGAGTCTCGTTCGTTAAGAAACTACGAATTAAAAATGAAAGACGGACTCGACGAGATTTTCAAAGTTTGAGCACTCCGCCACGCGTCGCGATTTCGTGAGAACTCTGGTTACTCTCTCTCTCTCTCTCTCTCTCTCTCTCTGTTCTGAACTTACAGAAACTATATTACTCGATGCGAGTAGAAATAAAAATATAAGATGGAAAATAGGAAAAAAAATATTCCCGGCTCGAAAATCATCGATTAATTAAAAATAATTCCAAATGTTTTAGAAATTATTCCAAAGAAAATCTCGATATAATAATAATAATAATAATATAATTTCAATAATGAATTTATCTCAAATTGTAATCAATTTATAATATAAAATTTTCATTGAGATAACTAAATAAAAAAAATTAATACAATAAAATATTACACATAGCTACGAATACTGATAATAATTCGATATCAAATGAAATTTATTTTAGAGAACACAGTGTATAAAAAGGGTATGATAATAATAAAATGTAAGAGAAGAAGAAGAAGAAAAAAGAGGAAATAAATGGTAAACGATAGAGAGTGGGGTGGGGGGAGGTGAAGTCTCGTTTAAAACGGTCATCGAACACTCGAAAGGATCTCATCTTGAAACTGGAAAGAGGTTGGTTATTAAGTCGGTTAGTAAAAGAGTAAAAAAAATGTGGGAGAATGAGAAAAATAGAGAAAGAGAGATAGAAATCTTTAGGAATGAGGGGTAAGAGGAGAAGAATAATGGAGTAATCGAGAAGGTGTTTAATGGCCCACTAAGAGTACAATCGACCGTCGAAGGTTTTGGCGCGAGCCACACACTTTACATACATTTGCATTCCATCTTGTCACGTATCCGGTGGGATAGGTATTGAACTAACACAACGTTACCCGATTTTGCGGATACGTGTCTTTATCTTTGCCTAGCCATACTTGAAGATATTTGTTAAGAAAGTTCCGACACGGGGAGGGGGGGGGGGGAAACTCACAGAGGAAGTTTGTCTTTAGTTTTCGTCAAAAGCTTTCTCGAGTAGAAAGGAAATAAAAATAAAAAAAAAAGTTAAAAGAGAAATGAAAGAAGTAATCGGAAAGAAAATTTCTCTCACTAGGATTGAGTGGTGGAGAGGATAGGGGGAGGGAGGGAGGGAGGGAGGGAGGGAGAGGATGCAAATATTTCCCGTTAAATATTGCATCCGTGTCTCAACGAACGAAGATCACAGATTTTCAAAGTTACCTAGAAGGATGCACCTCCGTTAAGGTATGGGGATCGTATTCAGTGAAGTTTGACAAGTTCCTTGGCTCGGCAACGATGAAGAAGGGTTGCCGCAGCAACTCTGCTAAGAAAGTTTCGTAGGAAGGATCGGTTGATGTATGGTTATGTGGAAGAAGCATGTTCCCTGACACGTGTACCACAGGACAACTGTTCAACAGATCCCTGCTACAAATAAAAACCTCAACAAACAAGCTCTAATATCCTTTTGTATTCTTTTAATTTCATCTTTTCTCTCTCTCTCTCTCTCTCTCTCTCTCTCTCTTACTCAATCCTTCTTTAAAGTTTGTACGTAAGTGCATATTTTTTTGTTAGAAGCCAAACTTTTCGCTAAGATACGCATTTTTCTATAGTAAAATTGTTTAACAAGGAGACCTTATGGTTGTGCCTTCACGGATTTTAACGAGCTTTGGTATATTAGTAGTATACTAGTAGGGTGTTATCGTGGTAAAGTATTTCATTCTAACGCGAAGCCAATTTTAAGAAAAAAGCTTTTAAAGTTTTAATTTTTTTGTATACATGTTTATATTATCTTAAATGCGACTGGTCATCAAGTGATGCGCTAGCTTATGTAGTAGCTTGTGCTTCTAGTTTGTGTTCAATCCTTCATGGGGAAAGTTTTTTTTATAATTTTTTTCCATCCATAAGTTTTAACATATTTATTGTACATTTATTAATATTTATTAAACGCAGATTCCAGAGTTGATAGTTATCGTAAAAACATTCAAAACAATAAATTTTGTCGACAACTTGCGCAAATAATAAAGGAAAATTGATTACTTGAATTACGATTAACATTTTATTTTTTTAACAGGTATATTACACATGAAATAGTTAATGATTAGAATATATACAATTGTTATTTGTTAATATATTGAGAAGATTTATCTATTTTCCTATACCTGTTAAAAAATAAAATGTAACTGTAATTCAAGTTATCGATTTTTCTTTATTATTTGCGCAAGGTATTAAAAAATATGGAAAAAAAAAATTTGAAAACAGATAGAAAAAAATTATTAAAAACTTAATAAACTTAATAAACAGTCGCATTTAAAATAATATAAACATGTATACAAAAAAATCAAAACTTTAAAAGCATTTTTCTCAAAATTGGCTTCGCGTTAGGATACAATACTTTACCACGATAACACCTTACTAATATACTACTAATATATCAAAGCTCGTTAAAATCCGTGAAGGTACAACTGTAAAGTCTCCTTGTAAGATTTCCCCTTGTTCTGTGTTATTTTATTTGTAATTTGTTTGAATTAAACTTTCGTATTTTACCAACTATTTCGAGGAATCCGGTGATGCTGGACATTGGATCGGTATTAACCTGGCACATGTACCAACCCCGGTCAGTTTCTTTAGCTTCTCTGATGTGAAGGGACCACGTACGATGTCCACTATGGGTAACTCCGATTCGATGATTCTTCGTGATAACGTGAGTTGCTATCGTCAGTATTGTCTGCGTGTCCACTCTAAGCCACGCCACCTATGAAACGTTAAGATAAGAAATAATAGTAGTAGTAGTAATAGTAGTAGGTGTTAGTAAAATTAATGCATTTTTTATCGAGTTAAACATCTAGCCGACAGGTTAAGGTCTATTAACAAGAGAACCTAAGTCTAATTTATTACATGGTTTTTGTATAGAAACGTAATGGTGCCTAAATGTCTTAGAATTCTTCGAATAATCATGATCTATAAATAATGTTGTATTTGTTCATATTTTCTATGGTATTATCTTATAAAGAATCAAAGTATCTTATTTTAAATTTCGAGCAATGAAAGAAACAGACGAAATATTTCCATCCCCTCCCACCCTCTTTTCCCTTTACTCTTCTCTCGCGAGAGTTATTAATTAATAGTATATTTCATTGTAAAAATGTTATTTGCGTTTGATAAAGTAAAATTTAATGAGAAATAAAATTATACGGGTACACGTTAATCAATGATATTTTCTACGTGAAATAAATTTCCGTTTGACTTTCGGATCTTTTTCTTAATTGATTTTCTTTTCTTTTGTATGCATTGTATGATTGAATTAAATATAAATGAAATATTGTGATATATAGTTGTGAATATAAAATGTGTTCAATGTGTTCGTGTTATTCCTCGTGTGAATTTTCACACGTAAACATTGATCTAAGTGATCAAGTAATCTTATTCAGTATTGAATATTCTGTCGAATAATTATTTCTTTTTCTTCAATAAAATATAATTATATCGAATATCTCGTAATACGATTATTTTTTTTTTTTTTTTCAATCGATTTAAATAATTTTAAAGTATATATATATATATACGAATATTATATGCAGACGCGCGTTAAGCGAATTCTTCCAATCATCGGATTTATAAAATTCGATAATAACACGTCGTTGACATTTCAGAGGAATAATAGTCGAACGATTTGAAATAATGAAGAATTCTTTGAAATAATTTCTAGCACGGAAAATGACATGAGATAACATTGATGAATTTCCGATCTAATTATTAATTACAGAATGCAATGGAATAATCGTGTGAAACCACCGGCGAATATATTTCATACGTTATAATCGATGATTTTAAAATAGAATATAATTGTTTCCCATATATAATTCAATCAATTTAGATTAATTCTAATAATACTATAATGTATTTAATTTATTATATCTGGTGTTTCAAATCGGACTTCAAATGTTCTTATCCTTTTTTTTTTCTTTTTGTTTTTTTTTTCCCCATTATATATATTTATAGAAATAATATAAAATAACGACGATGCAGCGTAACAGCGGAAAACGATGGGATAAAACATCAAGTTTTTTTTCTCATCAACTGAGAGAATAAAAAAGAAGAAGAAGGAAAAATAATAAAAATAAACGACTTTTATACGTATCTTCGATTATTTTAACAAGGAAAAAGAAATAGTTTCCTTTTCTTTTTTCACAAACTTTTGCTTACACATTCGATACTCTCTGTAATGTTTATATTTGCTTTTCAACCGATCAATTTACATTCATTTCCAACGTTTCATCCACTTTTATCGGTCGTATTGTGACAAAGATGTATCATCGCTAATCAAAATTTACGAACAATAATTTCAAAGTTATGGCTATTGAAATAAAACGTGTCCAAAATACATTGCAATTGTATTGATAATCTTAAAATAAGAAAAAGAATAAAAAAACATTATTAAAAATACGTTTCATTTCATTTTCTTTTTTTTTCTTCCTTTCCCATTTTTTTCAACGTACAGATTTATTCGCCGAATTGGTTGCACAACTCGCAATTGAGATATCCACCCTCAGTTATAATATATTATATAAAGTATTGAAAAATAAAATCCATATATAAACGTAGAATAATAATATTTCGTGGGAAATGAATCGTTATAAATATATGATTTTTCAAATCCTATATTAAATGTATTATTGAAAATAATTATTATATATATATATATAATAAAAAAGAAAAAATATGATAACCGAAAAGAACAATGATGCGTGGAACCAACTCGAATATCTTTTACGATCCAATGGATAACAGTTGTCTCGACCTATATATCCACACGAGCAGGTTCACGTGTTTCAGTATTTTTCGCGAAAATTCCTTTTCGAAAATTTACTAAAGGATATGGCAGTTCAGAAGAACAAGAACAAGAAGAACAAGAACAAGAGGAAGAAGAAAGGGTTTCGTGATAGTGTTGCATGGTGGTGGTGGGGAGTGAACTGAAGGGCTGGTATATAAGAAGATGATAAAGATAAAGAAATAAAGAATGAAAACACCTGGCTCGGCATATATGAAAAGCGGAATCCCTCGCTTTAGACTGTTATTCACTGTTCATCGTTTTCAAACGTCCATCCGAGTTATGCCAGTAATGTGTTTGAAAAACAACAACGGGAATGCGAACGTCATCCCTCGTCGTAACTCAAACATCATCGTCATCATCATCATCATCATCATAATCATCATCCTAGTCCCTTGTGTTTATTGTTACGATTTTAAACCAAGAACATGGAAAAAAAAACATATTTTCTTAAGAGCTCACGTATTAGACACCAGCTTGTATCAAGCTTTCTTCTTCTTCCTATTTCCTTATTTTTCTTTCTTTCTTTCTTTTGCGCATGCGCTTCTCACTCTCTCTTTTTATTTCTTTCTTAGCGTTTTAAAAAAGAAAAAAAGTAAAAAGACGAAAAAGAAAAAAAAGGGGGAGATGGGTGAGGGGGTGGGGTAAAGGTAAAATCTCTACAGAATTCACGTACTTTTGCGGTGTGATTTACAAATGGCCGTCGTCAGAGCTTTACTTTTTCTCACACACACACTCTTTCCATACCACCCCCTTCCTACCCCCTACCGTACCTTCGTGTACGTAACGACGAGGAAGAGAAGTTTTGTGCTCATCGACGACAACTCTCTTTGTCTCTTTTTCTTGTTCTTGTTTCTTTTTGTTTTTTTGTTTCTTTTCTAAAAGCTCTCGTACACGCGTATAGATATATCCTAGTATATTCCCGTGGTATTGTATCCACGTGGTCGGACACGTTAGACTATAGTTATCAAACTACGTCAACGCGTTCCGAAAAAAAGAAAAAGAAGAAGAAGAAGAAGAAGAAAGCTCTCTCCTTCGTCAAAAACCGCAATACACTCGACGTCACTACGTCTTCCTTATATTTCTCTTCATTTTCTTTGACTTTCCACTCTTCCCTACCCACTTTCCTTCCTGCCTTCCTTTCTTCATAGACGTCGTTTTAAAACGCGTTCACAACGAACGACCACAATTTCCACCCACTCCCCTCTACGCCCCATTTTTCGTTTTTTTTTTTTCCTTTTTTTCTACACCTATAAACGCGTCGTATAAGGTAAATATATGCAAGTGTATGTAAGTGAGTGTTCTCAAAAAAACACAGAGAGAGAGAGAGAGTGAGAGAGAGGAATAAAGAAGAAAAGGTGTAGAGAGAATAAGAAAAAGTAGAGACATTTTTACGTTTTACCACTACAGAAATAGAAAGATGCAGTGGGTGCATAGGAAGGCAGTACGATGGAAAAGAAAGCTCGAAAGAAACTACTGAAAGTATGAGGTGAGAAGACGAAACGAAGAGAAGTTAAGGGAGTAGGAAAAGAGAAAGACTATAGTAGTTGTAGTGGTGGTAGTTTTTGTAGTTGTAGTTGTAAGGGAGAGGATGGTGAGTTTTAAATTGTGTGGCCAAGACGAGAATGTAAAAGCTCTCGTTTCTGATATTGTGCTAGTATGCTTCTTATACGATACTATCATCTTTATACATATATTTATGTGTATGTATGCATGTGTAGTTGTAGATATATTTAGATATATATATATATGTGTGTGTGTCTTCTTTTACGTACGTATATGTATTACGCATTAGGGTGTAAGAAGGAATAGAAACTCGGGAAGGCAGGCCCTTCCTTTGTGGATGCTATGAATTGCCATCGGAGTAATTATTTAAGTCGTCCGTATACTATGAAACGGTAGTACTCCTTCACGCAAATCTACCACACACGTATTTCGATTTACGAGTGATTCGAGAAACTACGTCATTATTGTCGAGACATCTTTTCATTTGCAGATCCCGAATTTCGTCTATTATGGTTGTTAATAAATGAAACATTTTTCTTTTAATATTTTACACATCGATGATTATTAAAATGTAATTATATTATTATTATATTCGTAAACTTGTAAGCTAATAATTTTTATTTTCCCCCATACGAAAATTTGGTTTAAATGATATATTTTAAAATTAATGAATGAAAATATTTTTCTTTTAATCTTTTATGCATCGATGATTATTAAAATGTAATTATATTATTATTATATTCGTAAACTTATTAATTAATAATTTTTAATTCCTCCCCATATAAATATTTTTAAGTGACATATCAGAATTAATGAATGAAAATATTTTTATTAATGTGATTGAAATATTTTTCTTTTTCACTCTTATACATTGATAATTATTAAAATGTAATTATAATATTATAATATTCGTGAACTTATTAGTCAATAATTTTTATTTCCTCCCTTACGAAAATTTTGTTTAACTGATATATCTTAGAATAATTTCAAATGTAAGTATTAAGTTGTAAAATATTTTCGTTAAGTTATCTTCGATACTGTTCTATCGGTTATTTTTATTATTTTCAACGGAGATTTTTAAATGATATATTTTAGAATAATTTCAAAAATAAGTATTAAGTTGTAAAATATTTTCGTTAAATTTTTTTCGATACTGTTCTATCGGTTATTTATAATTTTCTAAACGAAAATTACAC